GAGAGTTTGGGGGACAAACAGGGTCACTTTACGTGCATCACATGTCAGAGCTTTGTGTCCGAGATCAGACAGAGGGTTCTTGTTGCTTTAAAATCAATTTGAAAATACTTATTTGGAAAATCGCTTCAAAGCATATTTCATTTGGTTCCGTTAACATAGTTTAAGAAACATCTCTTTCAAAACGGATGAGTACACTTGGTCAGTGGCATAACCCACCTGAAAGCTTCCCTACAAATACGGCTTTCGTGAGTCACAGGTAGGATAATCAATCTTAAGCTCTTATGTTCATTTGTTAGGCTAAAAGGATTTGGAATGATACAACTTTATTATTAGCTCAGTAGTATGACCAACGAACGTTATCAAATTATAGACCAACAAGTAAAGGTAGAAAGATAATCTTTTTATATATGGAATTAACTATTTTAACATATTTCCTTTTTATCATACGTACTATGCAAAATAATAATAAATTATTGCTTCTGAAAATGAGACACACTTATAATTAATTCTGTTTGGTAATTTCAATTTTAATTGTATTTAAAATGTAAACCAAGTGAGAAAATGTATTTTAGTAATGCCTTGTTAAAGAAAAAAAGACAAATACTGCAATAAGCACCTCAGAACTGGAAAATCATGAAAAACATCATTATTTAGGAAAGTGGATACCAAGATGCAATATTTATTCTTATGCTCTTAGAAAAGTAAGTCAATAGAGTCAAATGTTTTTAGATGCTGCCAGATTTCGAGAGTATCTGAGAATTCTAAAATTATACAACTTAAATTTTTATCGAACAAAAGAAATAGCTTTTGTTGCAGGCCAAGTAGCCATCAAGAATTGGTTTTGACCACCACCAGAGGGCGCCAGTGCCCGCAGCATGGTTGGTGTAGGTGTAATCTAACCTTTAGGTGATTCTTCGACATTGCTCAGCTGAGAAATGCCTTAAAAAAGAAAACTGATAACTTCTCAAAAATCATATTTACATCTGGTAGCAACTAACTAATTTTGGACTTTTGGAGTGAAAATAGAGTTCATTGGCCAATTTTTGGTTAAGATTAATTTAACAAGATTTTATTACTGTTTCTGAATCAGGAATTGAATGGCTAACACTTTTAACAATGAATAGAAAGAGCATTACTAAAGCTGTTAACACCGACATTTAGCACCATGTGTTTAGCACCAGAACAGATGATAGCTCACACTTCGTAAAATTTTAATTGCAAAGAAACCTCAAAATTGTAGCAATTTTGGTGGTTGTAATGTGTTTTCAGCACCATTAGCCAGTTAATTATTATTAAACTTCCTAAGTTTTTGACTGACCTCTCATAAGTCAGAGTTATAATGACACAATTTTTAAAAATCACTTTGTGTATGTTTAAATATGCCTTCCCCCATACATATGACAATACAAAAACAAAACAAAACAAAACATAAAAGTGAAGATAATGTTAGACAGAATCTAACTTGACTGTCCTCAAACACTTCAGTAGGCAAAGGCTTTGCTCCACGTCCAGAGTCTCACCCCAAGACACTGCAGAACCAAGGGCGTGTTGTTCAAGGACAGGACGCAGACCACAGGCCCAGCGGCTCCTCCCTGCGTGGGCTCATTCCAGCGACCTGTTGGGTTTAGCTCAGGCCTTCGTTCAGTAAGCAGGGCATGAACACGGAGCACGTAAACCGGCCCAAACGTGGATGAGGTTGGCTTATGCAGAGCCTGTACGCTGATCTCACACCGGCACGTACCAATGGGAAAATATACACGCTGCTTCGGTTCACACATCCGCAGTGAAGTGTGTTGGTCGAACTTGCGCCAGTGCTTGGTGAACTGGACTCAAGCTGCACGGAGCTCTCGAGCGCATGTGCCCAGGATTCAGGGCGGACATCACAGCACTGCCACGTGACGTTAGAGGAGACACTAATGGGCCACAGAAGTGATGGGACTGGCACTACTGAACAGAAGTCAAAGGGGTAATACTAATTGTTTCTGCCACGTTTTAGAAGCAAGCTTATCTATCATAACCAGGAGCATTACGGCAGCGCCTACACGATTTTTTCATTCCGAAGACAAATCCATCAGTTTAACAGCTAAAATTGTCATTTTAATTTTTCAAGTCTTTTGAAGACAGGAAAGCCAAAAAATCCACTTGTCACAGATTTTCTTTTCTTTCTTTCTTTCTTTTTTTTTTTTACTTTTCTACTGAAAGAAAAGGTGGTATGAAAACTCTATACCACAGAAAAGATCAGTGCTATAGAATATGTATGCCAAGTTCTGTTTCTTTCGAATGAAACCTTTTGAAATGAAAACCTCAATACTGACGATTTAAAGCTGCTCTTATGAAATAGCTTAGCCCCAGACTGTTTCTGCCTCTGGGAATTACACTGAGAGTTAGCTATCCAAGCACCATTGTTGCATGCTGTGAAAAATATGACATGCCTGTTGATACTAGCAAACTTTCATTTGCTGTACCCTGGGAAATAAAACATTTCACACGGCCACCTTATCTTACTAACCTTAAAAAGTACAGATAGAATAACAAATATACCCGTTACATCTTCAGCTGAGTTGTTAAATTATAAATAAACATACAGTTCTAGTTGTAGTTCAGAATGGACTATTATGTCAGTTATGTGTTTAGACCATAGTCTTCATCTGATGTGTTTGAAAGTTTATCTGGATTTTCGATGCATTCAGAGCTTTGCATTTAGGATATTTTGTCTTTATAAAACACAGAAAGGTAGGATTCTTCTAAATCATTACAATTCCAGAATTTTAGTTAATTCTAAAAATCCATTCATTTATCACATTACAGTCACTATAGAAGAAGCTGGGATAAATGCAAAGATTTAGAGTTTCTGCCCAAGAGAAGCTCATGAAAACTTAATTGTATCTTAAACAGAAGTTTCACACTACTGATAATTTTAATATTTATAAATTCTATTCATGTGGTAATTTTACCTTCATAGAAAACTCTGTGAAATATATTGCAAGTATTCTTTTTTAAACCTGAGCAACCAAGCCACACGAGCAAACCAGCAACAAAACTGGCCCTAAAATAGCCATCTTTGACTTACCAGTACTTTCGCCACTTCTGTAGAACTAATTTAGCAAAATCAAGGATGGAAACACTTTCTAGATAAATCAAGCAAACATCCTACTCATGAGATTTCTCTCAGTCACCTATTTTGTACATTAGATAAAAGTTGGATTCGGGGACCTGAATCATAACTATTTCTGTTCTTTATTTAAGTCTCCAAAATATTTCGTTTTTATAAAGTCTGTACATGCTCACAAAAGCAGAGTAGTATGATATCAACACATTTGGTCACCATATTCAATTTGTAAAGGGAATCAGGCCACTTGTTTGTCATCACGTAAACCTAAACTGCAGATGGTGGATTTCTCCTCCACTGAATGGATTTAAGGGATTTCTCCCCCATCTTTCAGTGCATCCACCCAAGAAACCGCAGATGTGTAGGGGGTTTTAAATAAGTCGCTTCCTTCTGTTTTTTGCACTCTGGAACTAACCCTGTTGAGTTATTCTGCAACTCGATGGAAGTATTACATAACCCGAACCTCTCTCTCTGTCTCTCTCTCTTTCTGTCTTCCTCCTCCCTCGTGATCTCATGCACACACACGAAATGCATCATATCAGGTGTCTTGGCCCAGGTGACAATTGAGTTCTCTCTAAGGAAACAGTGCATTTCCAAAGTAACGTCAGTGAAACTTTCATAGAGACTTTGGTTACATGAACTTAATCGAGAACTGATAATTATTCTTCTACATAGGCACAGAAATAGAATTTGATGCTTAGTCCTTAGAAAATCGTGTGACACAGACTCCTGAATGACTTGTAACTGTCTGTGATGTGCATGAAGGGTCTTTCGTTTGATACACACAGACCCATGATTAGGTCGAGACTCACCAAGTAATGACAACGAAGAATTGGAGGTGTCCTAGTCACCCCGATGATTCTGTCTGGCTGCTGTACCTCCTGCCAACAGGCCTCAAGGTATACTTGATGCTCAGGATAGGCCCTTCTGAAGCTCTCCACCTAAATTTTTTGTGCAATAACCCTACTTCTGTGACTTTTCACACCTAAATCTTACTTCCCTTGGGCCTCATCAGTTTCTTAGCGTCTTGCTTTCTGCCTTCCAAAGTCATAACTATTACTCTAATTCAGAAGTCTCTGGGCAGTTTTAAGTCTTCCCTGCCTCTTTTCATTCCAAGGCCTGTAGCTGAATTTTCGTGCTGGTCAGAAGCCTCACACATCACACAGCAATGTCGTTGTTGGGTTCACTTCCTCAGAGCAACCTGAAAATCCCTTTGTTAAAAAATAATAATTTTACAGTGAAATCATTAGGCTGCTTTATTTCCTGAATATTTTTGCGAGCTTCTTGAAGGCAGAAACCATATCTTATAATCTTTGCATTATTAGAACATAACTATCAGAGTGCCTTGCACATAGTAAGCACTCAACACACCATTACTGATTCAGTAGCAGAGATTAAGCAAAAGGCATGATGGGAAACTTACATGAGTTTGAGCATATCCTTTTGTGAACCCAAATAAGATAAAGTATCTCCAGAATGAAACCCATGGTCACTTAATTAAATTACATCCAGATATCACTGAGAGTTATTTTGTAAACTCTCCTTCTGTGAGTATTATAAAAATGAGTGCTGAAGATGTCTCACCAGCTCATATATAATTTTGAATAGAATTTTTTTTGTTTCCCTCAAGTTAACTACTAATCATATTATTACCTGTTACATCATTTATTATGTGTGTGTGTATATGTATATATGTGTGTATACACACACACACACACACACACACACACACATATTTATTACTGGTCAAATAGATTTTTTATGCCTTAGGAACATAATTCTTTTGAAAAGCAAGGTTTGGAATTGGACGAATCAGTTTTGTCAGTACTACGTACACAATATTTTAATTTAGGCTTAGCAGTAAGAAAATAGAAACGGATGTTTTGATCACCTCAAAAGATTAAACAAACATACTAGACAAACACTAATTTATACAATGAATAATAAAAAGAAAACAAGATTACTATAAAATATGTATAATATGTGCAAAACTCAACATATATATAGACCTATGATTCCCAGAAACCATTCTGTTTCCGGGAGGAAAAGACAAACTTATTTAAACCAGTATAGGTAGTTTGACGTCACTCCTGGAAAACACAGATTATCAGTACAGGACGCCCCATAACTTGGGGGACAAGCTGAGCACGGTACCCCTACTTTATATGGTGCTTCTCCAATCCAGTTGCCCCTAGGAAAAAAAAAGGCAGGGGAGGTAGCACTGGTGTTACTCGCCATTTAAAAGAATTTGTCCTTAAGTATGTGACCACATGTATGGACACATAGTGATCTTTTTGAGAAGTCTGTCATTTTCTAAAGGCACTAAAAGTTATATCCATTTCTTATTTCTACAGTAACTTACTTTATATATCTTACTTTTTCAATATTTTCTCTCTGAGTTCATATTATCTTAACTTGCAGAAGTGAGGCACTATGAGGAATGGTGACATGGTGGGCCATGTGACCCCAGGCTCGGTGCTTGTTCCAGTCACCACGTCTGTCTTCCTTCCCACAGCCACCTCCTGGAGCACATAGTTAAAAACTCACACTAATGCTATTCTAAGGATCGTAATGTATATATAATTTTTTCTAAGAGGCTTAGAAATGATGACGAGCAGCAGATTGTCATAAGCACAAAAAATGGGTTATAAATGTTCACAAGACTTGTTTCTAAAGTTGTGAAATATTTTAGATTCTCAGCATTCAAAAAATGATGGGTGAAAAATTCCACTCATAGTAAGAGAAAAATGGCTTCTAAAGGAGTCCTAACGGCGATTGTAAAACATTTTCCCATATGTAAACTCATAACCTTTTTGATTTTTAGTAATGCTATTCATTTTTTGATAATGAACACATTTAACTGAATTACTTCATGTTCCCAATATTTTTATCTGTATTGATGACCATGATCAAAATAATACAACAGTTCACCATTTAGGATAGTTAAAAACAGTCACCTTGCCTTACTAAAGAAGGTAATGTATTTTCAAAGCATGGCGAGCAATAACTAGAGTACTAAGAAATGGCAATATAGCCAACAGTGTGAAGGAGCTGGAATGGTCAGGAGAAAATGTGCTTGTCAGTAATAAAAGATCCGAGTTGAAGACAAGACAGTAGGTAAGAGGTTAAAATATGAAACAGGTGGTTCTTATCTTTTTAAAGACCTGAATAAGACCAAGCAGTGCCTTAGAAAATGTATCCGTAAGACATGAAATATCTGCTTAAATCATAGACTTAAATCTGTAAAATATCCATAGAAGAAAACGTATCCATAAACATCAAAAACATGCTGACAATTATTGATGTTGAAAACTGAGATGAGGTTCCAAGACTGTCCACTCCATTCAGTGTATTCTGCAGTCTGTGCTCTAGATAAGCTTCCTCCAGTGTGACTGTGGTCATGCGTGAGCTTGCCAAGAAACGTTCACCGAGGCCCCTTCACCTATGAGTGTCTCGCCCTCCTCAGTCCTGGTCTCGGTCATTTTATGTTTGTAATCTTCCGTCCCTCTATAACTTTACCCAGAGCTGTAAACGTATATGGACCCAGCCTATGCTATTTTAATTTATTTTATACAACTTTTTGAAATTATACAGCACATATTTTTGAAAACATAAACTTATAATTTTATTATGTGTAAAAATTAGGATGTATTATATTATAAACCTTTACGTAAATCACAGATTTTTGTTGAATAGAATATAATTATATTCAATGGTAAATCAGTCAGTTAATATATTATTCTCTCTTTTTTTGTCTTATTCTGTGTAATTAAATTCTCTCTCTCTCTCTCTCTCTCTCTCTCTCTCTCTCTCTCTCTCTCTCCCCGCCCCCTCCATTCCCCCCTTTCTTTTTTTGCCCTCCTGAAAAACAGGCTTGATTTGAGACAACTTCATACTGGCATTGGAAGAATCATATCCAAATATAACTCAGGATTTCAAAACTTCCCTCATTGCCTAGGTTTCAAAATAATGCCTTTTCATTACAACAAATATAGCATATTAGTACAATATCTTAATCACTTGGACCCATAAAACAATCAAATCTTTCATCAGTGGTATTAGAAAATTCTAATCATTGGCCAAAACCAGAAAAGTTAAATGAATGAAATAAAAATTTCTTTCACCCCGTGGGTACTCTTTGGCCCATTTATGTCAGGAAGAAGGGTAAAAGCTTAACAGGAAATATAAGGTGCGAAACTGAAAATATCAAACAAATGCACAGTTCAATGCTTTTCGTGATGCACACGTTCTACTTTACAAAGTTTACTGTTGTAATCGTTGTGAAGAGGGGGCCATTGGAGAAATTGCTATTTTTCTAACTTTGTGAAAACACTGGCATATTACCATAAAATGAGTAATGCCGTTGTTTGTGAAACGTTTTCTCCTTCCCTCCCCATACTGGCAATGCTGGAGAAAATCTTTGTTTGGGACTTACTTTGGAAGACAGCGAGAGTGTCATAAATCTTTTGCACATTTTGGTATTTACTCCAAATAAGAACAGACTCATGAACAAATACTGCAACCTTTTATCATCTGAAGAGTTATTGTTACCAAGAAGGCATTTTATCAAATGTTAGTACATGCTTATTTATCCTCGTATTGTAGAAAAATGTTCATAAATATGGCCACATTTTATAATCTTGAATCGATTTTCATAATATTTTTTATGTATGCCAGAATATGAAAATAATAATTTTTAACACTGAAATTTAAATCATGACGAAGCCTTAATTAAAAAAAGTCATAGCATATAAATTTGCCCTTCTGATAATGAATGGCTCCTTAAACATCTATGGAATTAATCTATAATTTTAAATCTTACTCTTAAAACAAAGAAGGAAGAAAGGCTTATTTTGCTTTCCTCGTGAAAAACGTAAGCCAACAGTCTTCCAGTACTGAAAGATGAGGATATTGTGGCGTTGATAAATTCCCTAGAAGATTCTTTTCTGAAGCCTTTTTATATAGCTATCAAAAGCCTAGAACTAAAGTGTTTATTTTACATATTTTACAATTACCATGACAGGAGAGGCATGGCAGGGAGAATTTAGCGACTCTCCATGCTCAGATGCTTTGCCTACTGTGTTAGCCCAGAATCCCTTTCCTTGTGAAAAGAAGCCTTTCACCTCAACATTTTTTCAGGCATATGGGGATGATGAAAGATTTCAAGCTTCGAGGCCACTGTAGTTAAGTCTTACTCATATTAAAGTACCCACCGGACAGAGTGCCACCGGCTACTTACTTTGGGGCGTAGTTGCACACCAGGTAAACTGCCCGTCGCCACACCGCTCCCCACACATTCATGTTTTGGCAAGTGTGAATTGCACATCCTATTCGATTGGAGGTGGCCCAAACCATCTGTGAAAATGCACCCACATACCATTAGTGAAGTCAGAGCTAAGAGAATGTGCATTCGCCGAAATAGTTAAGAGCATTTTTAAAAAAATATGAATCAGTAATTAACAAGGCAATTGAAATAACCTGCGTATAATGTGTGCACATGGGGCCAAAACACCTCATAGGACACCGAGGATTGCAGTCCTGGGGGTATGGGAAAGCATAGTCCTTCACTTCGTCATACCATGGCTTGACCAATTGGAGAATAGAGCGATATCTAGATATGAAGAAAAACAATGAGAGAAACAATGAGTACGGCAGTGGTAGTGTAGAGTGAGCTCATGTTCAATTTTAAGTTTATTGTTCTTTTTGCAGATTACTCATGATGAGTCAAGTGGGTATCCACCCCTCACGATTACCGTTACCACCTAGTAGAATCCTCTATTCTTCCAAGTAGGGCCACCATAAAAATGCCCAGGACTGGGACAAGTGGTCCTGTCTTTGTTTAAGTATGTGTCTGGTTGTTTCAGAAACAGAAAGGCAAATATTTCAAGATTTATCATTTTTATCTTATTTCATCTATGTCAAAAATTTCTTCCATCAGAATCTTATACACAATTAAGAATTAGCTATATAAAAGTAGTGTAATACTATAACCCAGTGTTTTTTTCCCCTCTTAAACTTGGATCGCTTCAATTTTGATGATAGCATCCCTGACTTTCCTCCCCTACATGGAAGAGAACGGGTCTTTGGAATGTTGGATAACAACATTTCATAGTGGTAGGAAAATCATCCTATCACTGAGAGCAGCTTTCTATAGTTGTGCATATTTGCATAGATACAATTTACATAACACAAACATATTGATATATGCGGCCATGAGAAAGTTGCACACATGTCAGGGGATCTTCTTGAGGTGGAAGAGTCAGAATTAAGGATAAGGCGCATATCTGATCCTTTCAGAGATTCTGTGATGTAAGTGGAGATTACAGGCGAAGGGAGAGTGCTCTGAGGTTGAAAAGGGAAACTGGTCTTGTTAGGCCCTTTGAACCAATTACATAATCCTCGAGAACATTGAAAACAGTCATAGGCCAAGCATCCACGCCTGGCACGTAGTAAGCACTCAATAAACAGCTGCTGATATTACTGGAAATCGATGTACCCCCTTGGCAATGAAGTTGCATGGATCAATGGTAGCAGTGAACCTGCTTCCTACCTTCCAGTTCGTACAGATAGATTTTGGCCCAAAAATCTCAGTAAGTAGGAAGGTCCATGGTCCCAAATGCAAGTAGCTGCCCAAGCCTCTGCAGATTTTGCAAGATTTTCATCCCAAACCTGTGAAGAGGAAAAAGCTTTCAGCTTTACAGGTTTGCTGATAAGACACAAAATAAGAGAAAAGAAATGGTACTAGTAATTCCTAAAGTTTTTTCAATTCTGATTCCTGAGACTTTTAACTAAAGAAAAGCAAATTAAAACCATTGATAGTTCAATTTTATAATGCAATATAATTGTGATTGTACCAGGAAAAAAAAAAAACTTTATTGTTTTTACAGTGCCATCTAGATCCCAAGTCCAGACATCAGCTTTTTGTAAAGGACGGGTTAACAAAAATACCATGTCTAGGTGTAGCCTGGGGACACCTCAGACTGACCACTGAAACTGGAATACACCAAAGTCAATTGATTTCTGTAGAGGCCATTTTCTAGGAATTTCCAGGTACAAAATACAAAGTAGAAAATATTTATAATTCTTGAACGTAAATATAGAAAACATGCTTTCAGAATTTCCCCCTAGTGAAAATGTAATTTACTGAAGAACTTATCTGTTGTAAAAAAATGATTTTAATTGAGTTTTATAGTTAAATATCATTATTTTCTGTTCTGTGAATATTTATATATTGTTCTATTCTGAAAAATTTTGAATTGTGACAGTGGGCACTGGTATGTTTTAGAAGGTAAGACCTTATTTGAAGAAGGAAGGGATGGTTTTATTACTCAAACTCTGTATGGGAAGGCTTATACATGTCCTTCTGTTAATCTTTGTCTTTCTGCTTTTCATAGTCTCCCTTATTTTATCGGTCTCTTGGTGACTTTCTCCTCTGCCCAGTTGCATGGAGATAAGCCAGAGGCATCTCCATTAGGGTCAATGGCCACGAGTCTGCTGTGCATTACAAGCTTCCAAGCAAACCCTGGGGATCGCGTGGCTAGAACACTGAAAAGGCACAGCTTTCTCCAGGTATCATGGGACACATAGACTTACTTAGTAATCAGTATAGTTAAATGAACAGAAATTAATTTAGTGACTTTGAAATAAAATAGGAAAAAAAAATAATCAATGAGTCCTTCCAGAGACACGTTTGCCCTAGGAGGCCATGGCAGCCACCCTCAAAAGGAATTCATTAGTTACTCAAAAGTCATTTTAAATTAGAAAAACAAAGTCATGTTACATGAATTTATCCGGAATTGCATTAAAATGTACTCACTCCCAAAGTTTATATAAAATCAGAATTATTTAGGAAGGATCTGGAGCAATTCTGCGGTGGCCTCGTCTCCTTTGTCCACATCCTAGAGTAACAGAGATTACTCAAGGAGCCGGTTCAGTCATTCAGAATACAATCTGCACATTTTGTGGATTAAACTAAACGTGGAAAAATTTTACGTAAAACCATTTTAATAAATAATCGATGTTAAATACAGTATCAAAAATGGATAATACTCATCCTGTAATTTATGACTAGTGTCCATTTCTTTATATATTTTTTCCCTCTGAATTGATATCATACTCTTACAATTACAAAAAGAGATTTTGTACTACTTTTTAAATAAATACTTAGTTTACTAAAATAATTATTGGGCATAAATTTTATGAATTATTCAAACTTCTTTGTTTATAAAAATCTGGGTAAAGTATATCAGCCATACGAAATAAATTTATAATGAAAATCATAGACTCTTAGGACTGAAATTAACTTTTAAATACATTTTGTTTGGCTGATAGGGAATTTATCTATTATTTATTCTTCCGATATTTTTGAATGAAATATGGATTTATGACATGTGGGTTATAGTTCCTCAAAATACAAAACAGCAAGATTAATTCAAAAAGAAATTCCAGATGGAACATCAACAATTTATGTCCCCTGAAGAGTTCTTAAATAATACAGTCATTGGAGGAAAAAAATATATTTGTGTCATTTACTTATTGAAATACAGTGTGCACTCAAATCAAAACTGCTAAAAATGCTTTATTAGAGTCTTGGTCTAAAATACCAGCACAGCATGACACAAATAACATTGACCTAAAAATTTAGAAATGTATTCTCACTCTAATTCTACTGCTAAGGTCATCTGTGACTGAAGGCATGTCAGTTATTGTATCTCCCAGTTAACACATCTGAAAATTAAGATTGGATGACGTCATCTCATTTAATTACCCAAGTAGCCCAACATCAAAGCCAGGAAGATCTATGTATTGGGCTATGAATTGCCCAGTTCTAGCTCCATGGAGAGTAAACTTGATTCTTTTTGAAGTTATCAGAAATACGTGAGTTAAGAATTTAGCATATGTAATCCTTTTGTTATATTCATTCACATATTTAAAAACTAAGTATTGTGTATGTCAAAAAGATGAATCAAAAATTTCATGCCTAAAAAATATCTAACATAAACACACTCCGTTAACTGTGATAAGGGATCCTGATAGGAAGACAATGTATTTAGCGGTACCAATGCCTTCCTTTTTTCAGGTGTTTCTATGTACACGTGTCGCAATTAAAACTTTGGAGAGGATAGCCAGGGAGGGAGGAATAACCACTTCCTTTCTCTCTCTGTGGTGTTTGTTTTTAGGGAACCGATGGGAGGCATCTCAAGATTCCTGAAGAAAGATGCTGAAGAGCCTGATGGGTAATGGCCAGGGCCCACACAGAGAGCGTGGGCCATTTTGCCTCTCTCTGGAAGACACCATTCACTCTCCCTTTGATGCCCACTGTAAGGTAAGTCAGAGGTTCTGTATTCTTTTTTGCCTCTCTGTCCCCGATCAGTTCTCATATTGATCCTGTAGAGAAGGGAAGACCCAGTTCAAGTAGGGAGCTCTGTCTGAGGGACTACAATAGTCGCATCTATCGGTAAAGTTGAGATCTGCATTTGCTGCTTCTGTCTTCCTCCATTGATGCCAACTCCCCAGAGAAGATGGGTAAATTATTTATCCCTTTAGCCTCCAGTAATAGTTAAATTGATTAATATGATGAGAGGTCTTTGAGGTTTGAAAATATCAAGCAATGATAACTTTACTTAATAACAATAGGAAATTTCAACAATTGGAGGCTATAGGGAGTTGCCCAACATGACCTCTTCTTTTCCATCGAGAAGCTCTAAATTGCAATGAAATTTGCCAGTGTAACCATGTGAAAGAATTTGAACAACTTATAAAAGTTCAGGGAATGGAGATGTAAATTGCTATTAAGCATTTAACTTAATATATACATTTCTGAATGCTTGATGGGCATCTGCCGACTTTCTGAGTATCTGTGGCGTTTATTTGAAATGATTTCAATATTATAGTCCACGAAGACAGCAACAGAAAAAAGGAGGGCACACGTGTGCATCTACTTAACATTCTATGAAATGCCTAGTAAATATGCAAAACTTTTGGTTGGAAAAACTAAACACCTTATACTTAACTTTTATTCAACCAGCTTCAATATTCCGTATTCCCTCTAAACAAATAATTTAGTTGTAAACACTTAAAATCTGATCCTGCCTCCTAAAAATGAGGTAAAAATTAAGAATATTATGCACGGATACTGAAAAATATTTACAGGACACTTTAAATGTTAGATATTGTGATTAAATTAGATAAATCACAAAATAAGGACGGCTTACGGCAGTGTCCATACAGCCACATGCTCAGAGGTTTACCCTGACACCCCACATGGTTTTCTTCCATTCTTTGCTGTTAAGAGTCATTTTAGTTGGTCAGCTCATAAATTGATTGATTTAGCAATGGACTAAAATGTTCACAAGCTATTCTGCTTATAGAGTCAGTGCCATGTCTGTGGCAGCCACATAGTTGGACTAAGGTACGAGAGAGATATCTAGAATTCAAAATGATGTTATTTAAATATCTGAAAGACCTGTGGCTCCAAGAGATAGGAGGGTTATGAAAAGAATGCAGATTCTCATCAAGTTCAGAGGTCTTCGGAGCTTGAGCCAAAGAAATACGGAATTGAGTCAAAGAATGTTGCAGCATGGGAGAAGGTTGTTGACTTTTCTAAGCAGACAGACGAGTTAGAGAATGGCACGCTCTGGCCAGGGATGAGGTGGTTTTATTGGTCGTTTCCTAAGTTCTGGTATCCACAACACAGTGGCAGCCAGGTTCAGGAAGCACGCTGACGTCTGAAGCTCCCCTTAAACCCTGGTCATATCTCTGGATGAGAACTGCAGTCAAACTGGAAGGCAACCTCAAAATCGTTTGGGAATGTATCCCCAACATCGCGATGACATACCGCTTTGTTTGTTTCAAATGTGGGTAACATCTGTCACATCTAAACAGAAGAATTAAATGTAGAAGTGTTCAAAAGAACCAAATTTAAGGTATTAAAAAGGATAGAGATTTATGGCTAAGGAACCTGTGCATATTTGATACTATTAAGATTCGTAATGGTTAGGAGAATGTTGGCCATTGAAGCAACAGGTTAGCCTTGTCATTTCAGCATAAATATATCAATGAGTAATGATTCATGCTTGCAATTGTAAGTTGAATTTTACAAGAAACCTTGTTAAATTTTTTTAAAGTGTTGCAAAATCTAGAACTTAAGAGTCACTGCATTTCTTAAACTTTTAAGACATTTAAATATATGGAAATTATTATTTTCAATTAATCAATTGAAATACTCTAAAAATCAAATATATTAAAACTAAATATAGTTTGTGAAATTTAATAATTAAATTTATTAGTAAACATTAAACAAACGTAATTGTCAAAACTTGCTAGATTTACGAATAGGACAAAAGATTTGTAATTCAGAGCTAAATTAAAAAAGAACAAGGAATATTACTTTTAAAAACAAAAGTGACCTTTTGAAAAATCCATTATGCACATGGAATCCATAAACTATTAAAATAAAAATATCACGCTGAGTTTTTGGAGACATGTTTCTAAACTGCTATTGGCACAGATGCTGTGACAGTGGTGGCATTGGAGACGGTATGGCACGTGCTATAGACATTTATTTTCTTGGACGCTTATTTGGTCATTTCCGGTATGTTACGTTAAAAAGTAGTCAACTTTGATAAGCTTTGAAGTTTCAAAACATAATTTAGCTAGAACCGCTTGAT